GAACCATATATGGTGACAACACCTCCCTTTATAAATCACGTGAATGTATGTGTCCTCACCGAAATCATGGCAAAGAAAGCGGTATCGACTGAGAAGCCGTTCTGTGCTCTCACTCTCAGCGTGGTCTTTGAAAACGCGTTCTCTGCAGAGCCCATTGTTTGCCAAGTTTTCAAATAACGCAAGATAAGCCATTGCACAGTCTGAGACAAACATTTGTCACAACTGTCTTTTATAGGGTTTGACACCAGTTACACAACTTGTCTGTTTAAAACTAGACAAATGATAAATTTAATGTTTTATAATTAAAGGAAACACAGGACATAGCCTATGTGGATTGCTTAATGCATACTGTGACACTATTCGCTAGTGTCGCTATTCTACCACTAGATTCTCTGCGTAAGCATGCTCAGAGGTGTGCTTATATTTACACACATTTCTACGTATAAGTACAAGTTGGTAGATCCCACACTTTGCGTGAAACTGTTCTTACGCACACATCTGTGCGTACGCACTGTTGATAAATGAGGCCCCTGGACATTTAGGGCCCAGCACATCAAACGTTGATTGGAGTTGGACATGCGGGAGAGAAAGATCAATGGGTTATGGTCAGTGTACACATCGATAGGCATGGCACTACTTCCTAAGTAAACCTCAAAATGCTGAAGAGCTAACAGCAAGGCAAGGGCCTCCTTCTCAATCGTACTGTAGCGTTGTTGGCATTTCGAGAACTTCATAGAGAAGTAGCAGATGGGGTGGTCAATTCCACGGGAGTCCTCCTGCAGCAGGACTGCTCCAGCACCGGCATCTATTTGGAGTTTGAAAGGCAGGTCAAAATTAGGGGCAGACAACACTGGTGCATGGCAAATGAGATCTTTTGCGGCCTTAAAAAGCATTATCACACTTGGTGCTCCACTTAAAACTCTTGGTAGTACTGAGAAGGTCGATAAGAGGTGACACAACAGTGGAGAAATTACAGCAGAAACCCTGGTAGTACCCATTCATAGCTAAAAATTGGCGTAGCTCACGTTTGTTACTGGGTGTAGGAAACTCAAGTATGGCAGCAACCTTAGCCTCAACTGGCTTGACACAACCCTGGCCAACTCGTTTTCACAGATAAGTTACCACAGCTTTACCTATCTCACATTTGGCAAGATTCAAGGTTAGGGAGGCAGCAGCAAGGCGACTGAATACTAACTTCAAAGTTTTTACATGATCTTCCCAGGTTTTTGAATAGAGGACTACATCTAGGTACGCGTTGCAATTCAGCACTCCTGTCAAGACCACCTGCATAAGGCGCTGGAAGGTAGCAGGTGCATTTCGCATGCCGGAAGCTAAAACCTGATATTGTAGGAAGTGTTCAGGAGTGACAAACGCGGAAATCTCAGATGCACGTAGAGTTAGGGGCACTTGCCAATAACCCTTCAACAGGTCTAATTTGTGACATATCTGGCAGAGCCTACTCTGTCAACACAGTCTTCCAACCGAGGCAGTGGAAAGGAGTCAGGTTTCGTTAAGGAGTTAACTTTACGATAGTCGGTACAGAAGCAATAGGAGCCGTCGGATTTAGGCACTAATAAACAGGGCGAACTCCATGGACTCTGACTATGCACCGCTAGCCCATGCTGCAGCATGTACTCAACCTCAGATTATGTCACGCTTTCTAGGGTTTATTCTATAGCAGTGTTGCCAGACGTACGATAATTATCGTATTTGTACGATAATTTAGACCTCTGTACGATGTACGATCAATAATGAAAAAAATCCCATAATGTATGATAATTTCAGAATTTTGTGAAATTCAAATGGTGGTCGTTGTAATCATAGGGCTTCTTCTATACTAATTCATCTAGCTATGGATCCTACGTCTTCCGCGCCCTGCTTTTAAACGAGCACTATGTTGTGGTCCAGTACCGCCGCTCCCTATATGCAGAGTACGCAGTGTAGGGCACCAACTCCCGGGCTCGCACCTCATGTTTATGGCTGAATGCAAATGATCATAATTGATGGACAACTATGCCGTGAAAAGACATCAGCAATCCGGCACTGAGAAAAGAAAAAGAAAAAAGATGAATCCCGTGTATCACTTTCAGGCCTACATTCATAATCCTGTGAAACTTTTTTGGATGTTGACGTTAATAACGTGTTTTAATGTATTCTAATATTCTAATATTCTCTCTGACTTTCCATGTTCCCTTACAAAAATTAGCCATTACATATTATTACAAATGCTTGCAAAGGGAGCCAAAGGCCTGGTAACTGCTGCTGTTTCACTTACTGGACGATCAAATCCTTTAATATTGACCAAACATTTAATTAAAATATCCACTTAATCTTTAATTTTTGGCCACCTTTTTGCAAAAGAAATACGACAGCCTCAATTTCTTCAACAAAAACATGTGGACATCACAACCCTTACAAAAAATTAACCATGGTTTTATCGTAGTAAAACTACATTTTCTTTTGCGTGATTTCTGAATGCTTGAGACTAAAATCAATCAGACAACTGTATTAATAAAATAATAGCCATAGGTAACTGTCTGGTGCTACAATTGTAATTTGTAAATAATACAATATAATTACAATTTGTTTATTTATTTACTTTTATATTTTTTTTTATTAAAGTTCTGCAGCAGTTAGGAGTGTGAATGACATAATTCATGTCACTGAGCTTTTCTTTGACTTCATATGGGCCCAAGTATTTAGCTCGAAACACAGAACCTGGAAGAAAACAATGACACTATCACCCGGTTGAAAACCACGGTTCACACTTCTCTTATTGTAGTGGTTCATTTTTGACTGAGCTGTAACCAAGTGTTCTCTAGCAAGTTCGCAGGCCTTATACAATTGCTCACGAACAGTGCTAACATAGTCAAGTACAGTCACAGGCGAAGAGTCTTTAGCTAATAACTGCTCACTTAGCAACTTCAAAGGACCACGCACAGTGTGGCCGAAAACAAGATCAGCCGAACTAAACCCAAGACTCTCTTGCTCTGCTTCACGGGCAGCAAATATAAGGTATGGAAGACCCTCAGCCCAATCCTTCCCATTGGCTATGCAGTAGGAGGATACTGATTTAAGGGTTTGATAAAATCTTTCAAGCGCCCTGCGACTCAGGGTGGTACGCGCTTGAAAGCTGATGTTTAACCCCTAACTCAGGTCAGTTTGCACAACACGGGGCAGACCGAAGGTGGGGCAGAACTTCACCAACTCTTTAATGATGACTTTGGATTTAATCGAGCGTAAAGGAATCACTTCTAGGAAACGTGTGGCGGTACACATGATTGTTAGAATATATTAGTGTCCTGACTTAGATTTGGGCACCGGACCCACACAGTCAACAAGGAGTTGCTCAAAAGGTTCTCTCATAACCGGTATTGGCTGCAGAGGCGCAACTGGTATATTTTTGTTGGGTTTCCCGGCCAATTGACATACAGGACACAATCTACAAAAGTTAGATACATCAGATTTTAATCCGGGCCAATTAAAGTACCGTGAAACTCGGTGAAAGGTTTTTGTGACACCCAAGTGTCCTGACAGCAAATGTTTGTGAGCCAGTTTTAACACCTGCTCTCTGTAACCAGCTGACAATACAATTTGGAAGAATTCTTGCGCCTCCACCTGCGCATGAGCACCGTATCTTCCCAGAAATAAGCTACCTTAGCATTAGACACTTGACTAAGAGGAACAGCAGCTTCAATGCATTTTACCAATGAGGGGTCTAATTTCTGTGCAGCAGCCAATTGCTCCTTACCAACCTTTAAAAGGAAATGTAACTGCACTGTCGCTGTTAGGGCGAACTTCTGGCTCTACTGGTATCTTATCTTCCACAAATTCGTCATGCGACACCAAAAATGATTCAGAGAGATCCTCCATGTCTCTGAATTTAGATGATTGAGCATGAGTCACAATGCATGCAGGGAAAGCTGAAGGAAATTGACGTGCTAGGTCAGGTTGCTCACACACGCTAGGGTTATGGACCACAATTGGTCGGGGAAACACTTCACCCCCTGCGAGGTCATTTCCCAGAATAACGCCCACCCCCTCGACAGGAAGCTGTGAACGTACACCAAGTTTTACAGTACCTGTTACGAGGTCTGATTTCAAGTAGACATTGTGAAGAGGAACGTTTATACACTCCATTCCAGTTCCACATATAAGCACGTCTGTACCAGAGTAAGTCTCGGTAGACCGGGGCAATAACTCCTCTAAAATAAATGACTGAACTGACCCAGTGTCTCTCAAAATGGTGACAGGTTTACTCTCAGAATCAACTGAGTGAGACACGTAGCCAGTCAGGAGGAAAGGCTGATAGGATGTAGCGGTTGTGTGGCTTTTCTCAAATGCGGGGTGTACGAATGCAACACTTTTAGATTTGGAAGCGGGATTCTTTTGCTTCCATGCCTTACAGTCAGAAATTAAGTGACTGGGATCAAGACAATAAAAGCAAGCTCGCTTATCACTTAAAGCATTTTTACGGCGCACCCTCGACTGGGCCTCACCTTTGCCAGTGCGTGAGAAAACACGTGTCGCTTCCCTATCAGATACTTCGCAAACGGAAGGGGATACATTAACACGACGTGCGGGGGGGAACATTCCGATGCATCAACACGAACTCATCGGCCAAAACCACGGCATCGGAAAGGGTTGCAACTTTCTGCTCATTTATGACAAAATATATCAAATGGACAACAACATTTTCCGGAATACAACTTTTGAAGTCCTCCAGCAAGAACAGCTCTTGAAAAAGGGTTTTCTTCCTCGCGAACTCGACAAACGCCTGTTTGCCCGTTTTCACATGTGATCTAAATTTTTGACGGTATGCCTCGGGCACCAACTCGAATGCTCTCAGAACGGCAGATTTTACTACATCATAGTCAAGCGACTGATCTATTGGTAAGGTGGAGCAAACCTCTTGCGCTTTACCAGAAAGACTGCACTGCAACAAAAGGGCCCACACATCTTTTGGCCACCGTAATTTCATAGCAACCCGTTCAAAGGCAATGGAATACGAATCCACTTCTGCTTCTCTAAATGGGGGTACAAGTTTAAGATACTTGCCAACATCAAAATCCGGCTCAGAAGTTGCATTATCAGTAATTTGAGGTACAACAACAGCAGGTGAAGTCACGGGAGATAAAGCAGAGGAGAGTCTAGAGCGAGGCATAGGAACTGGTTTTCGATTTAATTCCTGAGCACGCAAATCTAACTGATGCATCTTAATATCCCTATCTGCTTGTGCCTCTATAGCACAAAGCCTGATCTTTTGCCCTTCACACTCCTGCTTTTTTATAAGGAGGTCCAACTCCTTCAACTTGACAGCTAACTAATGGCGCTTTTCCACTGCGTGGTACGACTCGGCTCGGTACGGCTCAGTACGGCACGGCACGGCCGAGAGACTCAGTCACCAGCCCAGGAAGAACCTCACTTGCCACAGCTTCTGCGGTGATCCCAGGTTACTTTGAAATCATTCTGAGGTTAAATACATATTTAAAATCATAACAAGAAAATGTAACTAGTTACTCCCCAACACTGTGTATATCTAAGTGTTTCTAATTTTCTAAAGTCGGAAGGAAATTAAATTTAGCAACATGATAGTTAGGCTGTACTAAATTTACTTTGCTGTTATTTAGTAATCCAGATTACATACACAAATAATTCAAATAGTGTTTTAAACAGATGAATATTTGATACTATACTAACTGGAAAGTTTAAGATTTTCACTCTCTTTAAGGTCCTGATCTGGCTCCTCCACCTGCCGGGCTTCAGCCAGAGAATCAACCACCTCCAGTTCAGCCCGTCATGAATCCGTCTGTTCCAATTAATGCAGTGCCTTACATGATTCAGCCGTATAAAGGTAAACATACAATACATTTATATATCTGAGTGATACATAACATTTAGATGTTCAAATGTGTAACTAAAAGGCTCTGCTTTTCAAAATAGACAATGAAAGTTTATATTTTCAAATATAATACATATCTCATCAATACAAATGCTTGCACATAAAGAAGAAATGTTATGTTACTATACTAACTTGAATCTTAGAACATTCAAGGTTTTCACTTTCACTCTCAATTTTTGTCTTAAACTAGGCTATCCAGTCCAGAGGTACCTTCCAAATGCCATACCTCAGACAGCAGGACCTGGACCGGTTCCTCTAGCCGCGGGGCTAGAGCCACAGAATCAACCACTTCCGGTTCAGCCAGTCATGAATCTGCCTGGTCCAAGTAATCCAGTACCTCACCAGGTTCAGTCATACACAGGTAAACATAGAATGTTTGAGAAGTTTGTAAAATTTAGATGTTTAAATGTTCTAAAAAAAAACATTATTATTGGAATGCATAAGGAAATGAACGAGATTATTAAATCTAAAAAGTTCATGGTTTTCACACTTTATTGATTATTGTCTTAAAGTAGGCTACCCAATCCAAAATTACCCTCCAAGTGCCATACCTCAGACAGCAGGACCTGGACCGGTTCCTCCAGCCGCGGGGCTAGAGCCACAGAATCAACCACTTCTGGTCTGGTCCAAGACCTCACCAGGTTCAGTCATACACAGGTAAACATAGAATGTTTGAGAAGTTTGTAAAATTTGTAAAATTTAATGTTCTAAAAAAAAACATTATTATTGGAATGTCATAAGGAAATGAACGAGATTATTAAATCTAAAAAGTTCATGGTTTTCACACTTTATTGATTATTGTCTTAAAGTAGGCTACCCAATCCAAAATTACCCTCCAAGTGCCATACCTCAGACAGCAGGACCTGGACCGGTTCCTCCAGCCGCGGGGCTAGAGCCACAGAATCAACCACTTCTGGTTCAGACAGTCATGAATCTGCCTGGTCCAAGTAATCCAGTACCTCACCAGGTTCAGTCATACACAGGTAAACATAGAATGTTTGAGAAGTTTGTAAAATTTAGATGTTTAAATGTTCTAAAAAAAAACATTATTATTGGAATGTCATAAGGAAATGAACGAGATTATTAAATCTAAAAAGTTCATGGTTTTCACACTTTATTGATTATTGTCTTAAAGTAGGCTACCCAATCCAAAATTACCCTCCAAGTGCCATACCTCAGACAGCAGGACCTGGACCGGTTCCTCCAGCCGCGGGGCTAGAGCCACAGAATCAACCACTTCTGGTTCAGACAGTCATGAATCTGCCTGGTCCAAGTAATCCAGTACCTCACCAGGTTCAGTCATACACAGGTAAACATAGAATGTTTGAGAAGTTTGTAAAATTTAGATGTTTAAATGTTCTAAAAAAAAACATTATTATTGGAATGTCATAAGGAAATGAACGAGATTATTAAATCTAAAAAGTTCATGGTTTTCACACTTTATTGATTATTGTCTTAAAGTAGGCTACCCAATCCAAAATTACCCTCCAAGTGCCATACCTCAGACAGCAGGACCTGGACCGGTTCCTCCAGCCGCGGGGCTAGAGCCACAGAATCAACCACTTCTGGTTCAGACAGTCATGAATCTGCCTGGTCCAAGTAATCCAGTACCTCACCAGGTTCAGTCATACACAGGTAAACATAGAATGTTTGAGAAGTTTGTAAAATTTAGATGTTTAAATGTTCTAAAAAAAAACATTATTATTGGAATGTCATAAGGAAATGAACGAGATTATTAAATCTAAAAAGTTCATGGTTTTCACACTTTATTGATTATTGTCTTAAAGTAGGCTACCCAATCCAAAATTACCCTCCAAGTGCCATACCTCAGACAGCAGGACCTGGACCGGTTCCTCTAGCCGCGGGGCTAGAGCCACAGAATCAACCACTTCTGGTTCAGACAGTCATGAATCTGCCTGGTCCAAGTAATCCAGTACCTCACCAGGTTCAGTCATACACAGGTAAACATAGAATGTTTGAGAAGTTTGTAAAATTTAGATGTTTAAATGTTCTAAAAAAAAACATTATTATTGGAATGTCATAAGGAAATGAACGAGATTATTAAATCTAAAAAGTTCATGGTTTTCACACTTTATTGATTATTGTCTTAAAGTAGGCTACCCAATCCAAAATTACCCTCCAAGTGCCATACCTCAGACAGCAGGACCTGGACCGGTTCCTCCAGCCGCGGGGCTAGAGCCACAGAATCAACCACTTCTGGTTCAGACAGTCATGAATCTGCCTGGTCCAAGTAATCCAGTACCTCACCAGGTTCAGTCATACACAGGTAAACATAGAATGTTTGAGAAGTTTGTAAAATTTAGATGTTTAAATGTTCTAAAAAAAAACATTATTATTGGAATGTCATAAGGAAATGAACGAGATTATTAAATCTAAAAAGTTCATGGTTTTCACACTTTATTGATTATTGTCTTAAAGTAGGCTACCCAATCCAAAATTACCCTCCAAGTGCCATACCTCAGACAGCAGGACCTGGACCGGTTCCTCCAGCCGCGGGGCTAGAGCCACAGAATCAACCACTTCTGGTTCAGACAGTCATGAATCTGCCTGGTCCAAGTAATCCAGTACCTCACCAGGTTCAGTCATACACAGGTAAACATAGAATGTTTGAGAAGTTTGTAAAATTTAGATGTTTAAATGTTCTAAAAAAAAACATTATTATTGGAATGTCATAAGGAAATGAACGAGATTATTAAATCTAAAAAGTTCATGGTTTTCACACTTTATTGATTATTGTCTTAAAGTAGGCTACCCAATCCAAAATTACCCTCCAAGTGCCATACCTCAGACAGCAGGACCTGGACCGGTTCCTCCAGCCGCGGGGCTAGAGCCACAGAATCAACCACTTCTGGTTCAGACAGTCATGAATCTGCCTGGTCCAAGTAATCCAGTACCTCACCAGGTTCAGTCATACACAGGTAAACATAGAATGTTTGAGAAGTTTGTAAAATTTAGATGTTTAAATGTTCTAAAAAAAAACATTATTATTGGAATGTCATAAGGAAATGAACGAGATTATTAAATCTAAAAAGTTCATGGTTTTCACACTTTATTGATTATTGTCTTAAAGTAGGCTACCCAATCCAAAATTACCCTCCAAGTGCCATACCTCAGACAGCAGGACCTGGACCGGTTCCTCCAGCCGCGGGGCTAGAGCCACAGAATCAACCACTTCTGGTTCAGACAGTCATGAATCTGCCTGGTCCAAGTAATCCAGTACCTCACCAGGTTCAGTCATACACAGGTAAACATAGAATGTTTGAGAAGTTTGTAAAATTTAGATGTTTAAATGTTCTAAAAAAAAACATTATTATTGGAATGTCATAAGGAAATGAACGAGATTATTAAATCTAAAAAGTTCATGGTTTTCACACTTTATTGATTATTGTCTTAAAGTAGGCTACCCAATCCAAAATTACCCTCCAAGTGCCATACCTCAGACAGCAGGACCTGGACCGGTTCCTCCAGCCGCGGGGCTAGAGCCACAGAATCAACCACTTCTGGTTCAGACAGTCATGAATCTGCCTGGTCCAAGTAATCCAGTACCTCACCAGGTTCAGTCATACACAGGTAAACATAGAATGTTTGAGAAGTTTGTAAAATTTAGATGTTTAAATGTTCTAAAAAAAAACATTATTATTGGAATGTCATAAGGAAATGAACGAGATTATTAAATCTAAAAAGTTCATGGTTTTCACACTTTATTGATTATTGTCTTAAAGTAGGCTACCCAATCCAAAATTACTTACCCTCCACCATACCTCAGACAGCAGGACCTGGACCGGTTCCTCCAGCCGCGGGGCTAGAGCCACAGAATCAACCACTTCCGGTTCAGACAGTCATGAATCCGTCTAGTCCAAGTAACTCAGCACCTCACCAGGTTCAGTCATACACAGGTAATAATAATTATAATAATAATAATAATAATAATAAAAGTATTTGAGAAATTTGAAGTATTTGGATATTGAAATGATATAAAAACGTTATTATTGGTCAAATTTACTAGATTATTAAAACTAAAACTGTCATGGTTTTCTCACATTGTTGATTATTGTCTTAAACTTGGCTATCCAGTCCAAATGCCTCAGCCAGGACAGCACATATCAGCATATCCTGTGCAACGTTATGGTGTACCTGAGCAGGTTCCTCCACCTGCAGGGCTCCAGTCAGGCAATCATCCACCTCCAGTTCAGACAGTCAGGAATCAGTCTAGTCCAGGTAATCCAGCACCACACCAGATTCAGGCATATGCAGGTAAAAAGAATAAATGTGTATGTGAATGATATATTTAGATGTTCACATGTTCAACTAAAACAATGGCCTTTTTCTCATATACAATAAAAGTTAACATTTTCAAATGTACTTTGTTGTCTCTTTTTTTGTCAGTTCAATCAATGATCTAGGAACACGGGAGAACATCAATACAAATAAGGACGCAAATCAATAAAATAAAAAATGTTGATTATTGTCTTAAACTAGGTCATCCCGTCCAAAACAACCTTTCAAATCCCATGCCTCAGTCAGAAGTCATAGAACTTCAGTCAGTGAATCAACCACCTCCAGTTCAGTCAGTCTTGACACAGTCTGATCCAAGCAGCCCAGCACTTCACCAAGCTCAGCCATATGCAGGTAAGCATAGTGTGTTCTATAATATTTAGATATGCAAATGTTGCTTCTTTTAAAGTTGGAAGCAAATTAGGCTTAACAACATACAATTAAATCAGTTATGAACAAGCTAAACAGCTCAACTTGTACTTCTCAAAACAGACTATTAATTTAATAGTTTCCTATGTAGGCTACTTTGTTGAATAGTGTGGATGTACTTAATGAACATTAATGCTGTAGACAATGAAAGGCTAATGATGGTGTATCTCCATCCTCCTCACAAACGTCTCTAGCACCTGCAGTTCCTCCACCAGTTCTACTTTTTGGAGTACCACCCGGTCTCGAGTACTTCACTCAGGTGGGCCTTATCTGTCTCGTTCTATCAATACTTCTTTCTGGAAGTGTGATGTCTGGTTACTACCTGTTATTTTTTGTGCATTTCAGATCGACCAGATACTTATTCACCAAAAAATAGAGTGTATAGAGAGTGAGTCTTCTTCTCCTAGTCCCTTCTTGTTTGTTTTTTATTAAGTATGTTAGAGCACTGCCAATGCTTGAAAGCATTTCTGTTAACACTCTAAAATATTGCATACTTTCACTGTTTAAACCTAAGAGATATTTTAATCTGGCAATCTTTGATCATACTTGTCTACAGTATTAACTGGCTTTGAGACTAACAACCAGTATGAGATCAAGAACAGCATCGGGCAAGAGATCTACCACGCCAAAGAAGACAGTGACTGCTTTATACGCAATTTCTTTGGTCCAGCACACGGTTTTAAAATGCATATTAAGGACAGCATGGACCAAGAGGTCATTCAGTTGCACAGACCAATGCGCTGCTTCCTGCAAGAGGTAGAACAGACTTTATCTTGTCAAGGCTAATATATCAGCTAAATAAAACATTTTAACACAAATGTTGAAAGGAGTTCCAACATGCTGCATGGGCTTCAGACCAAAAAATAGTCAATCTTTGACCTAGAATGATTGACAATTGACAATTTACGTAATTGCTTATTAAAGATTTGCATAGTTTAGCTTTTATCAACGGTCACAACTATGTGCTGTAACGAAGGGATGTTCATAATCTACAACAAGAGATTCAATTCTCACAAACCTATATATATAGTATATCCTATATATATATATAAAAATGACTGATGGTTTAGTGAGGGATTGAGCTGCTCACAAGCAAGTTTGAAGCTGTTTCATTAATCTTTTTGGTTGACTCTTTAAAAAAAAAAAAAAACTTTGTTGACACAATTTTGCTTTTTTCCCCTAATTCTGCAGTCAAAGGTTGAGGATAGCAATTTGAAGGGGTAATTTCAAACTAATCTTGCTAGAATATGATATGATTTAGTTGTTGAGTTTTGAAGAACATGCTTGCAAGCAGCTGTGCAGTGATTTGAGCTTATTCTATTTATGGGACAGTGGTACGGGGGTTAAACTGATTTAGCATGAGATGGAAAGTGCTCTATTTTTAGCAGTGTGTTTACAGTACATGCTTCTTAGGCACGTGTCTATCATGTGTCTATCACTATTTGAGTTATTCGATTCACTATTTAATATTCCATACTCTAGAACTTTTTGCAGTTACTCTTTTTTAAATGTACACTTAAATTGGAGAGGATGTAGCATTCCTATTAGAAATGTGGAAACTGCTATAAATTTCTATTCGGTGCTCTTGAAGCACCTGTCACTCCAAGGTGCCTTATAAATGAGGTTGTCTGCTTATTGCACATTTTTTGACATACTTTATTTTGTTGTTTATTAATTGATGTGCATTTTCCACCCTCAGATTGAGGTACAGGCTCCCCCTGGAGTAATCATAGGCTATGTGAAACAGGAGTGGTCCTTTTTACCAAAATTCACCATCCTGGGCCCCAATAATGAGGTACTACTGAAGATCCAGGGACCCTTCCTTCCATTCAAATGCTGTGGTGACATAGACTTTGAGGTAACGTTTATTTCAGGCAAGATAAGTTTAAAGGTGTTTAGCATTTGATGTTAGGATTACACATGTCTTTTGCACCACTAAGAAGGTCTGTCTTTAGGTTAAAGGCATTATTGGTGAACAGTCTTTTGGTCGAATCACAAAACAACGGAGTGGTTTATTAAAGAAATGCATCAGTGATGCCAGCAACTTTTGTATCCAGTTCCCTCTGGACATGGATGTTAAAATGAAGGCTGTACTTTTGGGTGCTTGCCTCTTTATTGTGAGTATTAAGCCAATGATTTCAGCGATTCACAGAATATTGTATGCTAGGAAAGTTCATTCATAGCTGATATTTTTAGCTGTTTTGAAAATGATTTAGACAAGGCACTATATATTTTGAAATTACATCAGTTAAGAAAATATCAACAGCATACAGTTGTATTAAAATATATAGCATTATAGTAATGATTCTTGTTTGGAATGATCTCTTTTTCTCTTTCCTTTTCTTCTTACAGGACATCATGTTCTTTGACAAAGGTGGACATTTATTTCTAAAATTATTAAGGGCATCATGAAATGCCTTCCTTTTTTTTCTTTTTCTTTTTTAAAGAGTGTCTACATTTATAATATCCTGTCTCTGAGAGGCCAGTATGGAGTCTGTAAGGATTAATAAGGACCTGGAGCAAATCCCAGTTTTGCATATGCAGATGATTTGATGAGTCTGCTTTCCATTTGAGGGAGTTTGCTTTTCAGAGAACTGCTTTTCTCTCCTCCCATAGCAGAAACAGTCATATGCAGGCGGTTTGAGTGAGAGTGTGGTATGGTCTGAATGACAGTATACATACTACTAATGCCGTCATAGAGAAAAATGCAAAACAGGCAGGCAACCTTTGTCAAGATGGAGAAACCTACACACTTCAATGGACTCGTGGGGACCTCATCTGTTCCTTGGAATGGAATATTCTTCAGTTCTACTTTCCTTTTTAGTGAATTTTAGTGCTTTCAGCACACATGCACTGTTAGGAAAATATTGAACAGTGTTTTCCACAACCTTGTAGTTTTATTTGTACAGCACAAATGAACCAAATGTACTGCCATTCGGCTGTAACTCTTCAAAATGTCAGTTTCTGATGATGTCAGCACTATTTTTTAGCTCTCGTACTCGTATTTAGCTCTAGACAAAACTGACAATCATATACTGCTACTGTGCAAATATAAATATAGTCAATTAAACATTCTTTTGATTTGTTGTTACTTGTGCATTTTTCAGGTTTCACATTCATAGGATTACTTCTGCCGAACAAGAAACTAAAATGTGTTGAAATGTAGGCTTATTTTAAAACATGTACACACATTGTAACAATATTAGACCTGTTCAATATTTACTGTTACAAATTGGACTTTCACAACAAAATCACCAAGGAACTAATGTCTAATGTTTACCACAACTTACTATAAACCATCATAAAGAAAGTTTTGAAGCAGTATCTCTTTTTAAATTAAGAAAGGTACTCTTTAAAAACAGGGAAAAAGATTAGCCTTTTATGCCCACCAAAATGAAAGGTTAAATGCACATTTAACCATGCAATCAGGACCCAGTAGAATCATGTTAGACAGTCAAGGGCATAAGAAGTCAACAAGATATACTTGTTCTTGTCCAACCTGTTTACTTGCATTACAACCCCTTTACCAGATTTTGCAGTCTTAAAGGTTAAATGCAGTCTGCAAATTGGTGATGTTCTTGTAAAGTAAAAAATGTTACTAATAATATCCAAATTCTCCAGGAAAATGGCACAAAAAAGTAAAAAAAAAACTAAACTAAATAATTTATTTGACTTTAACTTTTTTTAATGGTAGGCTACTTACAAAACACAGTTATATATATTTTAGTTATTTGAGCCCTCATTATGAATGAAAAGAGTAAAAAAAAAAAAGAACTCAGAAATAACTTCTGTAGCATTCACTTTCGCTTTCTTTAGTATACACCATTTTTTTATTTGGCTCCAGCTTTCAGCCATCTGGTTCCACGATATTGAACATGATACTAAATACAGAGATCTAATCCTCACTGATGTGTACTTAACTTTGAAGAGTAAATACACTTACATTCCCTTTTATGCTGTTGTTCCTATACTGTGAAATAAATATTATTAAAATAAAAAATTTAAAAACATGAAATATTTTTATCTAAGGGACAAAATAAATAGTACTTCAGCAGACTAAACACATAAATGCACGTCCATATCTTTATTGATAAAATAGTTCCAGAAGAGGCTACAGGGAACAGACTACTTTTCATTAGAGACAAAATACTAAATTATAGGCCCATGTGTATATTAAATATTGTCTTCCATCTTTTGTTGATCCTGGATCAACATTACTGTCCAAAAATATAGACTAAACCTAATCCCTACCCCTAAACCTAACCCTACCCAGAATTTATTCCTAAAATTAGTGTGAAATGATAGCTGATTAACAAGGGTGTAGAAGCACCTAACCCTGATAGTTATGGAGCTCATAATATGTCAAAACTATTTGAATTTGAATTGTGTAAATTCAAAAAGTGTAATTTAACAAAACTGAATTTTATGTGTCATTTAACATAGTTCTGAATTAGATTTTTTTTTAAACTTGAATATTGAACATTTGAAATTTAACACAACTGAATTTTTTATGGTAGTTTTTTTTTTTTTAATAGACATGTATTTTCAAACAGCGGATTTTTTGTTCTGAACGAGTTTTGCCAGTTTGTCACAAATGCAGACATGGTTTTATGTTTACAAGGTGCGATGCAAGGCAACGCGTAAAAAGACAGTATAAGTCATTATAATCCTCGTGAAAACATGATAATACGTCGTGGCCACGAGATATTTATTTTTTGGGAACATCATATTAACTCGTGGGAGCATGATAATATGTCGTGGCTACGAGATCATTTTGTCGAGATAATCATATGGAGATTATGACATCCAGGAATCGCCGTGCGGCTGCCGCTTTCTCTCGTAGTGGAAATGTTTTGTGCAGTCTTGGGGCAGACATTGCCATAGTTACTGTCACGATCACCAACTGGAGTGCCCATGAGCTCCACCAGTGGGCACTCCATCCCTGACTTTTGCCATTCACCCTGGACTACATTCCCCATAATCCTTTGCCGGACTCATCATCTATTGCATCACCTGTCACTCATTAGATCTCATCATCAGTTCACAGCTGTCTCACATTAGAAGGATGATCTTCCAGAGCCTGCTGATCTTCCAGAGCCTGAGTCATGTCAAGTCACAGCTGATCATCCAGAGTCTCATCACGTCATAGCTGTCATCCCGAGCCACACAGACTCATCGCTCCCGAGCCAGGCAGACTCAGTGTTCTCAAGCCTGCCGGCAGCTACTCACTCCAGTTCCCCAGGCATAGCACAGTCAGTCTTGGAGATAGATAATGTACTCTCTGTCCTGCCAGTTATGGCTACGGCCATTCTCTGTGTTTGGGCTGCACACACCACCGTAGTTTCCCCAGAGGTTGCAGCTTCCACTGCAGAACCTCCCGAGGTGGTGGCGCCCACTCTAGTCCCTAAGTTTACCCCAGAACCCTCTCCAGTCTTTGAATCTGATCCAGAGCCTGCTCCAGTCCCAGAGCCCGCTTCTGACTCAGAGCCCGCTCCAGTCCCAGAGCCTGCTCCAGTACTTGAATTTATCCCCAAGCCGGTTCTAGTTCCAGAATCCATTTCTGAGTCTGCTCCAGAGTTCACCCCAGCTCATGCGTCCGCTCCGGCCTATGAGTCTGATCCAGAGTCCGCTCTAATCTCAGAATCCATTCCCGAGTCTGTTCCTGTCCTCGAATCCACTTCTGAGCTTACTCTGGTCCCTGAGTCCACTCCAGCTCCCCCAGAGTTGGCAACTTTTGTTGCAGAACCTTTCATGATGGTGACATCCGCTTCTGCTCCTCCTAAAACAGCAGGGGCACTCATCCCCAATCTCTTGGTTTTCCCTGGCGCCTCCATTCCAACCTCATACAATATTTCTGAACTCCCTGTGTTTAATGAAGCTCCTGTTGCTATTGTTTCAGAACCTCCAGAGGTGGCGGCATTCGCTGCAGAACCTCCAGAGGTGGCGGCGTTCGCTGCAGATCCTCCAGTGGTGGTGTTGTCCACTTCCGCGCCTCTTAAGATGGGGGTGTCCACTTATGAACGCTTTGTCTGCTCTGGTGGTCATCGGCTCCGCCTTGGCCCTCTGCTCTGCTGGCTCCGCCTTGGCCCTCTGCTGCACCGGCTCCACCCTGGCTCTCTGCTCTGCCAGCTCCGCCTTGGTCCTCTGCTCCGCTGGCTCCACCCTGGCTCTCTGCTCCGCTGGCTCCACCCTGGCTCTCTGCTCTGCTGGCTCCGCCTTGGCCCTCTGCTCCGCCGGCTCCACCCTGGCTCTCTGCTCTGCCGGCTCCGCCTTGGCCCTCTGCTCTGCTGGCTCCGCCTTGGCCCTCTGCTGCACCGGCTCCACCCTGGCTCTCTGCTCTGCCAGCTCCGCCTTGGTCCTCTGCTCCGCCGGCTCCACCCTGGCTCTCTGCTCCGCTGGCTTACAGTTACAAACAACAAGGTCTCATTTGATTTTACTAAAAATAAACAAAAAATAACGGAAATTCAGTATGTGTTATTTGCTATTTATCATTTCATGGGACTATGACTAGCGTAGTTGTCATATCAGACACAGTTAACAATGACATTTTACACGTAGCCTAATTGTATTTTTACCTGGCAAACCAACTCGCACACGCATGCTCTGGATTTTTTTTATTTTTTTTATTTATATCTCTGTAAAATATTTTTTGATGGATCATCCAATGGGAATTCCATTAGGCTACATTTTAAATGATCATCATGTTTTCAACACTACCGACATGAGCTCAGTGAAAGGTGCCTACAAGCACCTGGAATCCAATATTGTCTGCTCAAATGCCTCGGTCTGGTTGTGTTTTGAAGACAACTATGTTTCCTTAAATAATAGTCCCAGTCCCACTATACAGCAGACATATTGATAGCAGAATGTAAGTAGCTACATTTATAACGCATTGAAAGACTGAGATCTGTCAAACATATGTGTAACTATGACACACTGTGGTTGTTTTGGGTACAGCAAAACAACCTAGTTTCTCTCTCCTTCTCTTTGGGGACTTTTCACTTCTTTTCACTTGCATGTCCCATTAGAGTTGATGTAACTTCACAGAACATTTATTTGCACAGGGTTAGCTATAAAACTGAATAAACAGTATTGATAAGTTTCTGAAGACGTTTTCATTTCAATTCATATGTAAGCATTTTACGTGTCTCACTTTGTCTTTGCAATAAATATACCCGTTTGTGCCTTGACATTGTTACCTGGAGTCAACCTGGAGAAACTGAGCCATATCTTTATGGTAAATATTCAGCATGTTATTTTCCATAACCTGTTGTGTTTTAACTTCTAATAATGTATGAAAATCAGAAAACAAACAAATAAAAATGCATGTTTTATTTTATTAAACAGATACAAATATTTATAACACTTTGTATTTACAAATTCATCATATACATTTACACAGTTTTGCTGAATTTAACACATTTAACATTTTAACAAACCTAATTTATATACAAAAACTGCAAACTAACAATAGTCACAATGGCAACTAGAATGTCATTCTGCATTTAAAAAGAATGATTATGCTGTCTTTCCAAACAAATAACTGATGTCACAAATGTATTAATTAAGCACATAATACAGAGTCACTATAGATAGTTTCACATTGGAGGTGGATGGAAACTTCAGGGTGAAATCCTCAATAATTATGAACCATCTTACGAGTTAACATTGTCTTGCATTAAACTCTTTCTCCTCTTCTATCCAGCGCAGTTCTGTCTCTGTCTCTGTCTCTATCTCTGTCTTGTCGTATGATGTAACGTCCTGCCAGCTGCAGGTCCCACTTGTAGCGGGCAAGGATTTTTTGACATTCCTCACGAGAGCTCTGAGTCATGTAATACAGCTGGTCTGTCTAATGATGTAATGGAAAAACAAAAGAATAAGTACAAGTAATGCGATGAATTAATTGAAATGATTTACATTGAATAAACAAGGGTTCATTCTCTATTACCTTAAGCTGCTGCTCCGCCCGTACAGGATTCCAGTCACTGCGATACAGAGCTTTCTGAACCTGCTCAATGGTCACTCCATGTACT